GATCTAGGTAATTCCAGGATCGTATAGTATTTGACGGATCTTAAAACGGAGTCCCGGATACTCCAGGCATGCCAGCCTTAGAGCTAGGTTTACAGTAAACAAACTAGTTGCAGATCAGGAACAGAGGAAAAAACTATGTGTGGCTTGATCCCTCAGTAAGGGTACGTAGGCAGCCTACAGTTATCAGGTGCAGCCACGAGTTAGGGCCTTAGGATTTGTGTTATTGTTTTTCAGGACATTTTGGTCATTTATCACCTACACCCACCAGGTGTCAGTTTTAACAGGGTTCGACCCGGATTCCAAAGTGGAATTTGGGTCAGGTCGTTTCATTGTTTGGGAAGGAATTTGGGAATTTCAATTGTAATGTTGCACAAAACGCGTCGAGATGAGTCCGTAGACAAATAGTTGGCTCAAATCGGAGTTATAACGAAGAAGTTATGATCTACGGAAGCTCAGTGGCATAACCATAAATATTTCGAAGTTCAGTTTTTAAAAACCCAGATTTTTCATCTCTTTGTGGCAGCACGAACAGCCAACTTCAAACCGAGATTTCTCCTCCGTCCAGCCACCAATTCCGACGCCACAACTTGCAAACTCTTCATCTCTCTCCACTATTCACATCCATACCAATTTCCAGCCCCCAAATCCAAGGAATTAAACCCAAAATTCGAGCCAAAATTGAGCCAAAAACAGAGCCATTTCGGCTGTTTCGAAACCAGAAATTTCGACAGCTTTTCCGGCCACCACCAGCCCCCAAATTAATCCCAAAACACTCCCTTACCTCCCCTATGTGTTTTCCCTCGAAGATCCGACCCAATTTAAAGTAGAAATTGTCTATTCCAAACCCAAAACTTTCTAGGTTTTTCAAAGACAAAATTGTTCCTTCGAGGGCTTTAACGGTGGAATTGATCTTCGCGCTAAGGTATAAAGTTACTCCCCTTGATGTGCTTGATTTGTAGGTATGATTATTGGCCGGCGGTTTTGAGTTTTTTGATCGCTGGAAAATTGCTCAACACCCGCCGGCGGTGTCGGCACGTCGGACTAAGCCAGTGACACGGCTGGATGCTCTGCGAGTCTCGGCCTTACGATACATAGCGTATCATTTATCATGGAAGCTCCTTAGCATACCATCCAATTTGTCTGAAAATCCATCAATGTGAGTTATTTTACTCTCAATATCAAACACCTTTGCTTGCAGAGCCTCTATCTTTGATTCTCGAACAATGTTGGCCAACAAATCTGGACGGTCACGTCTGAAGTGACCGAACTTGTGTCCGTACTCAGCACATTCGGATTTCACAAAACCCTAGTAATAAAATGAGGTTAAAATCCTACAAATTCTTAATTAAAATTTCCAAAAAAAAATTCAAATCTTACATGTTGTTCAAGTTCTCTGTCAAAATCAAAGTGTGCCAAATCCCCAGAGTGGCCATTAATGATGACCTTTCTAAGACTTGATACGCTAGCCATGACGAAAGTGTCATCTGTCTTCCATGTCATGGCTCCCAAATTGCCATTAGAAACAACAGCATAGAGACTTCAGACTAAGCCAGTGACACGGCAGGATGCTCTGTTAGTCTTGGCCTTACGTGTTTCGTGTAATTGTAGATCGTTCAACTTGTCAGACATGTCAGCAAGATTATGCATTTTGGGGATCATGTTATCAATAGCATCGTTGAATGCGCGTTGTAGCGTTTCCATTGCTGCGTCAGAAACAACTTCCACTTCAACAAAATGCTTTTTATAATCAGCCATCAGCTTTACAGATTCAGGAACCAGCTTTGTACTGCCGCCAAGAAGCACGTAAGGCCGAGACTGGCAGAGCATCCAGCCGTGTCACTGGCTTAGTCTGAAGTCTCTATGCTGTTGTCTCTAATGACAATTTGGGAGCCATGACATGGAAGACGGATGACACTTTTGCCATAGCTAGCGAATCAAGTCTAAGAATGGTCATCAGTAATGGCCACTTTGGGGATTTGGCATACTTTGATTTTGACACAGAACTTGAACAACATGTAAGATTTGAATTTTTTTTTGGAAATTTTAATTAAGAATTTGTAGAATTTTAACCCCATTTTATTACTAGGGTTTTGTGAAATCCGAACGTGCTGAGTACAGACACAAGTTCGGTCACTTCCGACGTGACCGTCCAGATTTGTTGGCCAACATTGTTCGAGAATCAAAGATAGAGGCTTTGCAAGCAAAGGTGTTTGATATTGAGAGGAAAATAACTCAAATTGATGGATTTTCAGACAAATTGGATATGCTAAGGAGCTTCCATGATAAATGATACGGTATGTATCTTAAGCATAGTGCTCTTAGCTATGATCATGTGGTTTTTTTATAATGTATTTGGCATAATAAAGAGCCTAGAGTGAAAAGGAACTTAATACTTGTGCTTGGTTGTTAATCGGTCTTGGAGTCAGCCAGTTTGGTAGGCTTACTGTTATATGATTAGCTGTAAAAGCTAGTTATAAATACCGAAGCTTAGTCTCCTAAGATTCATTAAGAAGTTAGAAATCCTACTTAAGTCTGGAAAAATTAGAAAACAAGTTAGGAACTAATTTCAGGAATCATATCCTGCTCCAAAATTGGAGATAATGAATGTTACAAATTCCTTTATAGCTGCCCAAATGTCCAGGAGAGCTATTGAACATACTGTGCCACATGAAAGCTCTTGAATACAGCCCAGAAGTTGCTAAGGGTGAGTTTCATATAATTTTTCCTGTGCGTTTGGTATAATAAAGAGCCCTAGAGTGAAAAGGAACTTAATGCTTGTGCTTGGTTGTTAATCAGTCTTGGAGTCAGCGAGCTAGGTAGGTTTATTGTTATATGATTAGCTGTTATGTAAATACTGAAGCTTGGTCTTGTAAAATTAATTAAGAAGAGAAATCTAGGAAATATACAGAGCACTTTCTTCTTTTGCTTCTGTGCTTCTTCAATAGCTTCTCACGTAATCCCAATAAATTTGGAAACTAGAAATCTGGAAAAGTAGAAATCCTACTGAAATCTGGACAAATTAGAAATTGATTCCTTTTTAGCTGGCCAAATGTCTAAGAGAGCTTTTGAACATACTGTTTCACATGAAAGCTCTTGAATACGGCCCTGAAGTCGCTAAGGATGAGTTTCATAGAATTTTTCCTGTGAGTTAGAATTGCTACTTCTCTCTGTCTCTCTTTTCCTTTTTGTTATTTCTTTCTATATTTGAATTCTTTTGTTTTGAAATTGATTCCTCGTCAATCTCAGCACAATACGTGGCTAGGCTACCCAAAGTTCATTTCTCAACTGATGGCATTGCTTGATGTTCTAGTGTCATTTTAGTTGTTTGCCATGGTCAGCTTCTGACATAAATATGCGTAATTCATGTAGAATTGAGACAAGTATGATATGGTGACTTTTGTGGGGGCCAAGTACTCTGGTTTTGATAGGTATTTGTTATGTTCCATGCAAGTTTGGTTGTGGATTACATTCTTGTTCAAAAAAATAAAATCTCAGCACAATATCTAAATAAAGGCATAAGCATCATCGTTACAGATTCTCAAGTTTTTATTATTATTCTTTTTTAATGAAATGGATATGATAACGAGGCATGAATTATCTCTTCCAATTTCTAGTCGTAGTGATGATCCTGCCCATGAATTCATTGTCTTGTTTTGTATTGTAGTATAGGAAATACAGAATCTTATAAATAAAAACCAGATGGGTTATTGGATTCTATTTCTGGTGTTTGTGGGTCTATTAGATGTTTATCTATTATCGAGGGTTGTTTTGTTTTGTGCTTGTGTGAGATTATAGATTCCTGCTTATGAAAATCTATATAAAACTCTGAAAGTATGTCACTTAAAAGTCATTAAAAATTTGTAAAATTTATGAAAGTCACTCGCTTAAAAAGGTCTACAGAAGGTTTTATATGGATTGAATGCACCCCTCAATAACTCAAAGTCTCCTCTAATGAATTACGAAGGGGTATTTAGTATTTACAATAAAATATCTTTAAATTGAAAGGAAATTAATACTTATGTTAGGAAAGAAATCCTAATCCAAATAAATTAGGAAACTAGAAATCCTACTGAAATCAGGAAAACTTAGGGCCTGTTAGGGTATTTAGTATTTACAATAAAATATCTTTAAATTGAAAGGAAATTAATACTTATGTTAGGAAAGAAATCCTAATCCAAATAAATTAGGAAACTAGAAATCCTACTGAAATCAGGAAAACTTAGGGCCTGTTAGGGTATTTAGTATTTACAATAAAATATCTTTAAATTGAAAGGAAATTAATACTTATGTTAGGAAAGAAATGTTAGGATTTTGGCTCGTCAAATATGTCCTAGTTGGTTTAGGATTGTTTTAGGAAAATTAGAGGTATACCAATTCTTGTCCTAGAGGGATTAGGAAAGAATTTCAGTTTTCCTTATTCAATTCAAGTTTGGATTTCTAGAAGTCTATTAGGATTTGGATAAGTGTAATTTCCTAATCTACTTAGGAATAGGAATCCAATCAGCCTTGGGACATGTAAGCCAACTCTATATCTATAAATAGGGTGTGGCAAGGCTTATTTTAAAGAGAGGAAAAACAGCCAGAGACAGCCAAGAGTTTTGAGATTAGTTCTAGGGTTGCAAAAGTTCTGTAATCTCTATTATTAATCAAAGGAGCGGTGATTTCTCTACCTAGAGAAATCACAACTGGACGTAGGCAAAAGTTCTGCCGAACCAGTATAATTCTTGTGTGTTTCTAAGTGTTTTAATATTTGCTAGTTTAGTCTATTGCCGTCGGTTACATCAAAAGAACAAGATCTAGAAGGCGAGTTATTTAACAAGTGGTATCAGAG